AAGGTGTTTCCCATGGCATAACATGCAGCCAGGTAATACTTAATGCTAACAAAGGTTGTAACGCTTCATAAAATACAGATGTTAGGAGCAAAATTTTTACTATCTGATGTTTACAACCCGTTTTGATCATTACTGCAGAGTAAAGAAAATAGAAAGAACAACAAGTAATGCTTTATCTGCCCTGGGAAATATTTCCAAAGTGTCTTGAGATTTTCTCCAAATTTCTTAAACATAGTTTTATTAAACTAAACTATTGTTAGTCTACAGGCAGTGCTGATCAGCAGTATGCTCCAGACGGAGGTAATAACAGTAATCTGATCACCCAGTGTTTAATCAATCGTGCAGTGGTTTCACAACAGCAGAAAACGGGACTTGGAATCACATTTCATAATAAAACAGGATAATTTACATAAAACCTTGGTGGCGTTGCTAAAGCCAACTTACTGCTCAGCTGTGGTTGACTTTTTCTTTGTTCCCTTATATGTTAGGCAAAGATGTCAAAAAGGGAGGAAAGGTCAAGTATTAGGATTAATTAAAGCTTTCAGAAACAAAAAAAAGCAATAAATAGAAAAAAAGTTTACATCTTTGGAGTGTTTTTGTCTAGAAAGAACTGTTAAGTGAAAATCTAACCATTTAAAACAATATTACCACTTCCAAGTTATTGTGAAATTGAAGTTGTTTGCCAACTGTGTCAAGCAGTTTTACACCTAATATAACTATGTTGAACACCTAGTCTACTAAGTTTGCTTCTGATGTGCTGATGACCAGTAACAGCCAAATATGAAAACCAGTTACAAGCCGTGGCTGAATACATGCTCCCCGATGGCGAAAGAGCTGTTAAGATAATAAAATAACCAAAATGTTTTGATTTAATTTGCCGAAACATCCACAAAGTGAGTTTCAGGAGGGGAAATGTTTTGCAGGTTTGTGTGGAAAGTTGAATTTAACTGGGTTTATTGCTTCCCTGTAATAAAGGGATTGTAGTTTTGTCAGTGTAATACCTCTTAAACTCCTCTCCCAGAACTACCAATGACAGAGCAAATGAATGTCACAGGGGCATTCATCAAAAAAAAAAAAGAAAAAGAAAAAAAAAGACAGGAGAAGCAATGAATGAACAAAAGCACAGATTAAATTAAAGACCTACAGTTAAGGAGTCTCTTAAAGGCCTTGCAGAAACCTTGCAACATGAAGCACATTTTAACAATGTTTTCCCTTTATATAGAGAATTGTAACATCAGCACATACCTAAGAAAAATATGAATATTTATAAGGTCCAATAATAGAATGACAAAATGCTCATTAGCTACATCTGATCTTTAAAGTACCTCATTTGTAAAATTGAGAATTTTATATACTTTTCTTTATATATATATATATATATATATATATATATATATATATATATATATATATATATATATATATATATATTTTTTTTTTTTTTTATTTTTTTTAACTGGAGTGTTTTTTTTTATATTTACA